TTCTCAACCTTGGGAACTTTAAGATGTGTGGACTTCAACTCCCAGAATTCCCCAGCCAGCTATGAAGTCCACACATCTTAAAGTTCCCAAGGTTGAGAAACACTGCTTTATACGATCTCTCTGTAAGACTGAAGGATCATTTGCCATCCACATAGATACTGTACATATAGGACAGGAGCATATTATTACTCTTTTCATTAACTCAAAAACTCTTGCCATATGCACAGGCATATTTGTATGTACAACCACAGAGTTGGAAACAGCCATTTAGTCCATTAAGCCAATTCCTTCTCAGTGTGGGAATCTGAACAAAAACATTCTGGTCGGATAGCTCTCTGGCCTTTACTTAATGCACCTAACAAAGCATTGCCCGTAATTTATCTGGGTAATTTAATCCACTGTCAAATTGCTGTTGGTATGTTTTTTGTAATATTCAACCAAAACGTGTCTCATTATGGTTTAAATCCATGATTTCATGTCCTGAGCTCTATGGGCAAAGAACAGGTTTTGGCCTTGCAGAGCACAAATTGTCCCCATCAGATTTCTTTTTTCAAGGCTAAACATTCCCAGTTCCTAGAACGTTGCCTTCTCAGCATCAACAAGGTTAACAGCCCAAATCACCTGGAGGAATTTACTTCTTTATTAACATAATGTCTATATCAACCCAATCTCACAAGTGTGATTCAAATAAGCACAGAATAATACAGCTCTTCCCAATTAAAACAGCAATAAAAAAAAACAAAAAACAAAAATTAGACAGATGTAAAATTCCTTCTTGATAGCGTTTTCCTGGTCTGCTACAAAAGAGAAACCAAAGCTCCCCCTGCAGCTTGTAACTAGAGCTCCTCAAACTTCCAAACAACTTTTGGCAAAAGCATCCTGAATGTTGTGGTAATTCTGGGAGAAGAGCCTTAGGCTAGAAAAGCAAATGGCAAATGTTAAAGGAAGACTAGAAGGGACTTGCACATACTATTAATCTACTGCTGAAAGCATGAGAGTTACATTTAGTAAAGGCTGTTTCCTTAAGGGGGGCACAGCCTACATGGCCTAAAACATCACTAATGAAGATTTTCCCCCCAAACAATCTTAGTTTCTTATATTCATTTAATGCTACTTTTTAATTTATAATCTTAGGAAAATTGAAAAACCTTTTACACTTTGTTTACATATTTGCTCTGATCATATTCCACTACAATTTCTGTTTCTCCCAGTTATGTTTTTACAGGAATTTTAAGACTGTAGCTGGTGACATGCTGAAAATTATGGAGGGAATGACAATCTATTTCTTAAAGTAAGTTAGAAGCAAAATAGAAAAAACAAAACAGGAGGTTAAGTAGCAGCTGGACTGCCAGTTTGCTACATGCAGCCAGGGCAGGGAGCTTCTACATGGCCACTATATTCATTCCACCCAACCCCCAGCAACTGTTTTAGAACACACCATAACTATCTTCACTGTTGCCAACCCAAACATGTCAAAAGATAACATGAGCTAATCCGTGTTTTCCCCAGCTGACCAATGGAAGGATAGAGAAACTGGCACCCAGACAGAGCCATGCTTCCCTCCAGGTTGTTACTTTATGCTCTGCCCATTCTGTATTTCTAAATAACAGGAAATACTGACATAGACATCTGCTCACTTCTAAAGACAAGCAAAAATGCAACCTAGCCTCTCAGTAGCTTAACCTCCATGGAGAGTGAAGAAAGCTCTGGCGCCAGGATGAGGCAAGAGTTCCCGCCAGACCATAAGTGTCTCCCTCAAAGTTTCAGGATTCACGCTGCCAAACTGCTTTCTTGGCAATTCTATCTGAACCAGAGCAAAGCCAGAAATTAATTGGCTTCGCCACCCAGTAAAGATGACCGTGTGTGATCACATGGTGCCAAGCTGATCTGGGAAGGGCTTCAGCCAGAATAAGAAACACATATTTAAACTACTAAATATCATGAGTCCCCAACTGGCAAACTTGCTGGGTATCAGCAGTAAAACCTCTGTGGTATCAGTTAAGCTGCCAGAAAGCGGCATCACTGTGATAATATCATACCAGAAAACTGTTTTCTCCTGCTACTAGAACCAACCGTTGACCAGAACAGGGGAAAAAGCAACATTTCCCTGTTCTCAATCCCCTACTCACTTTGCAAGCTTGGTAGATTAGCATCTTCCGGCTTTGTTTTCAGCAGATGAGGAAGCCGCGTGTACCTGTATCCAAATCCACAGCCCTAGAGGGAAAGGGGGGAAAAGGATGCTTGGTTCCATTACTTTCCACAAGAATATTTGAGACTCTCTCATTAGAAATAAGTGTGCAAACAGTAATAGGAGAATTCTTGCAGAGGACATCTGCTGGTTTTAAAGCAACCTAAATCTCCTAAGCCAGCTGAGAAGCAAAAAGAGAATCTATCCTTACACGCCACAGTCGTACAAGAATCCAGTTAGTCTGTGCCCAGGGTCTTTGCTCATATGGGGCCAGCAGATTCCTCATCATGGATATTCGTCTGCCAAAATAAGACAAACAGATTAGCTCCCCAACAGGGGGAGAGTAATACAAGGCAGAGGAGGAGTAGAAACGCAATGCAAACAAGCTGAAGAGGCTGTTTTCATGTACGCATGAACCATAGGGAATTGCAAAACTTGTGCCTGACCCGTAGAAGAAAAGAGAGGCAACCTGTTTTAGGACACGTGTTTTTACTTAAGGAAGAAAGAACCAAACACTTACTGATCTTCCGGAATTCTCTCTACAGCCCGAAGTGAGTGGGGATAGCAAACGTAACTGGCTAATGCTTGCATTAGGGAGTCTCTAATGTCTGGATATAAAAATAAGAGAGAACTTTAATAAGACAGCAGATCTAACTGTAATTTTGGTTTCCAGAATGCATTTTTACTGAAATAGTGGGAAGTAGACAAGAAGCCAAGACAAAGGGATAACCAAGATATAAACAATCTCATTCTGCATTAGACTGAAACAGAAGCAACAGCCCCATTGCTATTCCCAAAATGACAACTGGAAATTGGAGAATAATCAACAACCATTAATTTAATCTGCTCTTTTTATTCCCCACAGCCCAGCATGGCATCCTACTCAGTCTCAGATCATCCTCGGCCTCATTTTGAAAATCTCAGTGGGAATCTCTGGCAAAAATTCTCTCTCCCTCCCCCGCATCCAGCTGTATGGGAAAGAACAGAAAGAAACAGAGGGTTTCACAAAAAGAGATTTAAAGAGAAAAAAATAGGTGGTTCCATCCAGCTTTGTTTCTGGTCTTTCCTAGTACTTGTGTCATAGCCACCAATCAAGTGGCATGAAGCTCCCCACTCCTCGCTAGCCCTGGCAACAGATTACAACCAAGAGAAGATAACCCTTAGAAGAAGAGTTACCTACCTGTGCCTACAATTCTTGGGTCAGCAAAATGCTTGGCTAAAATGGCAGCAAGGCGTGTCAATGTATCTTCATAGCCTACAAAGAAGTTCCAAATACTAAAGATTGCAAATGTATAGACATTTCTGCACCTGCATTTTTACCAGTACAATAAAACAGATGTCTAGAATTAGCTTTCTTATTTATGTCTTTGTTTTGAATTCCTGGGAGGCAAACCATAAATCCAGCTTTTAATAATAAAAAAAACAAGGATAGCAAGTCTGCATAGTAGGTACTGTCACTGTACTATAGTTTTACTGTAAGTACTCAACTAGAAGGGAATTTCCTTAAACAATTAAAAGAAAAAAGCTCTTTCCCCCGTTCAGTGGAAATGCTGCCATGCAAATGCATGGCCAATGTTTATACTGAGCTGATTCTATTTAGTGTGGATTTTCCTGGACATGCAGATAAGTCTCTCTAGGAATAACATTTCTATTTTCTTTCTTTCTTTAATAATAATTTTTATTAAAGTTTAAAAATACAGAGATAAAAAACTAATACACATTAAGAAAAATATAAAAAGAAAAAAGAAAGAATAAAAAGTGCAAAGGGAAAAGAAGAAAAGAAAAAGGGGGGGGAGGAAAAAGAAAAAATATATAAAGAAAAAAGAATATATAAAGAAATCACTTCCCCTTCATCAAGACAAATACAATTTCAGTAACTTATCACCTTCTCTAATATTTCAACCAAAGATCTCTTCATCCCATATCTCATCTTTTATCTATC